GCTGGATAGTTGAAAAGAGACAAAAGAGGGAAGAGTCAGTGAACTTGAAGATGGACAAGTAGAATTTATCTAATCCAAAAACTAAGGAGAAAACTGATCAAAAACAAAAAAACAGAAAAACAGAGCCCCAGAGACCTGTGGGACAATGACCAAAGGTCTGGCATTAATGTTATTGAAGTCCCAGAAGAGAAAGAGTAAGATACTAAAAATATGTTTGGAAAAATAATGGCTAACAACCTCCCAAATTTAGAAAGACATAAACCTAAAGATTCCAGAAGGTCTGTGAACCCCCAAACAGGTTAATCACAGAGAAAGTCAGATTCAGTTCCATCTAAGAAAACTAAAGACAGAGAAAAAATTCTTGAAACTAGCTAGAGAGGTGTACACTTGTCTAATAAGGAACAGCAATTCAAGTGATTGTAGATTTCTTATCAGAAACCATGGAAACCAAAAGAAAGTAGCAAAATATTTTTAAAGTGCTGTAAGAAAAAAAAACTGTCAACCAACCCAGAATGCTATATCCTGTGAAAATACCCTGCAGTAATAAAGGTGAAATAAAGACAGTGCAGGAACAAGAATAGAATCTTTTGCCAGTAAACCTACTCTAAAAAAAAAAAAAAAAAAAATGCTTAAGGAAATTGAAGTTCTTCAGAATGAAGTGAAAATGATACCAAAGGAAAATTTTAAACATTAGGAATTAAGAAAAAGCAACAGAAATGGTATATAGTCTGCTTTTAAGCTTTTTAAAATATTAAAAATAAAAATTCTAACATTGTCAGGGATTTTCAGTGTATACATATGTAATATATAAGAAAATTATAACAAAGTGTGGGGAGTAAAAGGATATAAGGTATCTGTATTCCACTTGAATTGGTGAATTATAGATTCTAAGTAGACTGAAATTTTAATTTTTTTTTTAAACGTTTATTTACTTTTGAGACAGAGACAGAGCATGAACGGGGGAGGGTCAGAGAGAGAGAGGGAGACACAGAATCTGAAACAGGCTCCAGGCTCTGAGCTGTCAGCACAGAGCCCGACGCGGGGCTCGAACTCACGAGCCGTGAGATCATGACCTGAGCCGAAGTTGGACGCTTAACTGACTGAGCCACCCAGGCGCCCCGCTAAGTAGACTGAAATTTTAAGTAAGTATACTGTAATTTCTAAAGCCGCCACTTAAAAAAAAAATCTATGGATATAGTAAAAAAACAATAGGTAATTAAAGTGAAATATTTAAAGTTCAGATAACCCAAAAGAAGTAGGAAAAGGGAAACAGAAATGAAAAACAGAAGGAACAAACAGAAAAGAAATAATAAAATGGTAGACCTAAATCCAAAAACATCTAAGTTGTTCTATTAAGTGTAAATGGTCTAAATATACCAGTTAAAATATAGAGATTGTCAGAATGGATTTCAAAACCATGACTAAATTGTATGTTTACAAAGAGACTCATTTCAAATGTAATGATGTAGGTAAAAGTAAACAGATAGGAAGAATGCTTATGTTAGAGAAGAAGAAAGGTCTCAAATTAATAATCTAAGCTTTTATCTTAAGAAACTGGTAAAAGGAGAGCAATATACATCCAAAGCAAGCAGAAGAAGGTAAATAATAAAGATAAAAGCAGAAATCAATGACTTTGAGAACAAAAGGAAAAAATAGAGACAATAAAACCAAAAGCTAGTTCTTTTATGATAAAATTGACAAATCTCTAATTAGACTGAGAAAGAAAAAAGATGCAAATCACCAATATCAGGAAAAAAGAGGTGGAAATCACTACAGACCCTGCAGGGTAAGGGAATACAAAAGAACAACTCCATGCAAGTAGTTCAACAACTTAGATGAAATGACCAGTTTTTTCAAAAGCACCATCTGTCAAAACTTAGCCAAGTGAGGTAGCTAACCTCAGTAGTTTTGTAATTATTAAAGTTAATTTATAGTTAAAACCTTTCAATGAAGAAATCTCCAGGCTTAGATCATTTTACTTATTAGTAAATTCTCCCAAAAATTTATAGAAGAATTAATACTGTGTCTCCACAATTTCTTTCAGGAAACAGAAGAGTTAGGAACTCTTCCAGTTCATTTTATGAGACCAGTATTATCCTGATAACTAACCAGAAAAACATTACAAAATAGGAAAACATTTCAGTATCCTTTGTGAACATAGAAGTAAACATCTTCAACAAAATATTAGCAAATCAAATATAGCATTGTATAAAAATAATATATCATGACCAAGTGGAGTTTACCCCCCCAGGAATGCAAAGCTGTGTTAATATTAAAAAAATCAGTGAATGTAATCTACCATATTAACAATCTAAGAAAGATCGTATCAATTAATGCAGAAATACATTAGATGGATTTCAATATGTATTAATAAGAATAACTCTCAAAAATCTAGGAATGAAGAGGACTTCCTTAACCTGATAAAGTGCAACTATTGAAACCCTACTATTAACATTATTCTTAATGATGAAATGACTGAATGCTTTCTTCCAGAGATTAGGAAAAAGGCAAGGATGTCTGTTTTCATCACTATTACTCAGTGTTATATTGCCCAGACAATAAGGCAACAAAAAGAAAAATAGAGAAATGAAATATAAATAGTGTGGTTTTTTTGTTCTCTTAACCATGTCTTTTGTAGTGCAAGAATGTTTCTAATTTGTATGAAGTCTTAATTTGTCAGGTTCTTTTTTTTTTTTTTTTTTTAAAGGACCTGTTTTGGGTGTTCTGTCTTAAGACATGTGAGATTTCAGAAAACCAAAGTATACTTTGTAGAGTGGGAGAAAATGTTTTACTACATAGGTAGGGAATTTTGATGACAGAGGTCAATTTAAAAACTTTTTATTTGTTGTGACTATCTTGCAGATGCTAATTTTCTCCAGGGAAAGACTTAAAAAATATAGCTGATTGTTTGATTTGTGCTGCAGGGTAGATTAATTAAAATCGCATTTTGTCACCTGAAGTTCCAGATTATGACAGCATCAGACTCTGAAACTATCTATACTTTTTAAAAGGCCAGCATCAACAAAGGACAGTTTACAACCCCTGAAAACAGTTTTTTAGCAATATGTGTGTGTGTGTGTGTGTGTGTGTGTAAAACTACAGTTTAAAAGAGGGTTTTCTTCCCTGTAATTTGTGAAAAGCAAATGGAGAATGGTTCTTAGTTAATTTTTTTTTATTTTTAGTTATGTTTTCTGCTTTACTAAAGACTCAGTTACCTAGGGATTATTTTTGCTCTTTCCTCTAATACTATAAAATATCCTGAAGTGGTCTTTACTTTGTATCTCCTTGAGACTGCCTATTTCACCACAAACTTTACTATTTTCATCCTGCTCTTTTTTTAATATGTTCAAAATTTGGTCAATTCTCTTTTAAAAAAAATTATTTTTGATGTTTATTTTTGAGAGAGACAGAGCACAAGCCAGGAAAGGGCAGAGAGAGAAGGAAACAGAATCTGAAGCAGGGTCCAGGCTCTGAGCTGTTAGCACAGAGCCCAGTGCTGAGCTCAAACTCACAAACTGTGAGATCATGAGCTGAAGTCTAAAGCTTAACCGACTGAGCCACCCAGGTACCCTGGTCAATGTTCTTTTTAAAGAATGTTCAGTGTGTGTGTATAGGGTTCCTCAACAGGTTACTTTCAATTGGCTATCTGAGAGCCTGATATTGTTTGAATATTTGTTTAGAAACCAGTGGCAGGTTCTTTATTCATTTCTCTCCATAGTAATAAGATTTTGATGGTAACTGAACGTTCTTCTTCTTCTGGAGAAGCTTAAAGACCTCATAGTGATGTTTTATTTTGACTTGGTTATCTTTTCTTTTCTTTTCTTTTCTTTTCTTTTCTTTTCTTTTCTTTTCTTTTCTTTTCTTTTCTTTTCTTTTCTCTTTTCTTTTCTTTTCTTTTCTTCT